GAATGGTGGCAGAAGACAATCATTTTGTATGATAAAACCTGAATACTTTGAATCGCAGTGCTCCGCTGCTCACCTTAAAGACTACTATCAGCATGACCCTGAAGGGGTGTTGTGGAAGTGCAGCCCCGTCCTACCATAATGGATTCTAACATTTCTCACAGACGAGGAAGAAGTTAGAACCAAGTGATGAGGCCAAGGAAAGGGGCCAGGGCTCCATGCTGGGTAGAAGTGAATGGGATTCAAGAGGGCTCAGCTGGGGGGGGGGATACCTAGAAATTTGGGACACAGAGAACCTGTCAAATAAAATCTGCTGTATCTGATCAATTTTCATAGAAATCATGACTGAAATAAATTGATAGCACAGCAAATAAAAGATGTCTTTCATGTCTATATATTTTTTTAAGTAGATGATTTCCTGGTGTATGGGGTGCTGTAGGCAGACGGAAGAAATGGAAATCTGAGTACTTCTGCTTGAGGCTGTATCCAATGTCCATGTGAAAAAAATGTATTTGGGGCAAACACTTTACTAAAGTTCCCACCCATGGTATAATTCAATGCCAAATAGTAACACACCAGGCACACTTTTCCACACAGGGGCACTCAGATAGAGAAAGGTGGTTTATGGAGAAAACAAGAATGTAGTGTTTTGTGCAACTACTGTGCCGCTCAAGCTTTTAATCCCTAGAGAGTTATAAACCTCTCCTTCAGGATGGGCCAAGAGGTCTCCAGTCGCTTGGGAGAGCGCCCCAAAACGGTTTGGGCAAATAAAATTCCGCAAGTTCCCCCAAAGCTGCACACACTCTTATACTTTCAGGCACACACACACACACACACACGGGATTTATAAGTGATGTGGAAAAATTAAAAAATGTACTGTTTTTACATGGATTGTGTCATCTGAGTCTTCAACTCACTAGAGAAAGTGTTATTGCTCACAGTCTCCTTTGCGAAGGGCCAAGACTGTTCCACTTTACAGTCCCAGACAGCTGCCCCAAAGGTTTGGCCAGGGATTTTCAAAGGGGTCCACAGAAGCCACAAGAAATAATAACAACAAGCACCTTGCACACGCAAAAACTTATCCCACCAAAAAAAGTATTACCTAATATAGAGGAAAAAGACAAAGCAAAAGCAGGTTTCAGAGTACCTGACCGTGCCCTGTGAGGCAAGACCGACTTGGCTAACACAGGATCACAGCTTGGTGTGATATTCAGCCGTTAACCATGCAGTGAGGAAAAATCTCAACACGCTGACACAGAAACAGTTTTTCTTGAGCGCTTACTAAATAAGCTTCCAGACTGACAGGCGTACCGGCCGCCTGTCCCTGGGTCTCTACTGCGTGCTAATCTCAATTCCACCAGCTCTCTCTAGCTCTTCCGGGCCTCCACACCTGGCTCCCCGGGAATTCCGTGAACAAAGGATAGATAAAAGAGAAGGTCAATACTTACAAGTCCAGTGCTGGTCTCCTTGTGAGGAGTAGGAGATCCGAGGCATGGCACCATTTGTTGTGAGAAAAATGTGTGTGGCTGCACGTGTCTGTGAAAGCGTGTTTACCTGTGTCACCCACACTCTCCCCTCAGTTCGTGTGTCTCCTGAGTGTTGCCTCCTTACCAAAGGCAGAGGTGTAAGCTTGGAAATCACTAAGGCACTGGCAGAGACACTCAAAGGTCTCTTCTTAAAATAAACTTATCTTTATTATAGAAAAACACTCAGAGATTTACCTGGCAAGGTGACCAGCAAGACACTATGCCAGCTTGCCAACACAGTAGAATCCTATTTCCTAAATATTGATAGAATACACAGAAAAATAAACATGCAAGCAAAGCTTTCCCCACCCCAAGGCATGCAGAGAATGAGAGGCCTCTCGGGCTGACTCCTACCAAGAGCCAGCGCCGATCTGTTGGATTTTACCAGTATTTAAACCAAATGATCAAAGGAGTTCCTTGATAATCATATTACAGTTGTAAATTAACATTTAGAAGTTGAAATTGTCCTGCAGGAAATTGCGTCCTTGGTCTTACACAACAAAAGTTCACATTCCACAGGATCAATACAGTGTCATTGTTTTCTCCTGGTGTTTCCCAATCATGGGAAATAAACTGTCCTTTGATGTTATCGCTGAGATGGGGTATGTGAACTCCTGTACCTCAGGAAGTTAGTTTGTCTTTTGGATTGAAGTCTGCCAACTTCCCAAATGACCATTCATTTTACTGCCTAGGAAATTGGGGTATTGGCAAGTCTCACATCTGTGGAGATTTCCTGGGAATTTCCTGGGAATGGAATGTGTTACATCTTCAGTGAAAAAAGGTCAAGCCTGTTTGCTAGCAAGGGCAGAGACAGATATATATGGATTTCATAAACTATTTGGTTCATTTTAAACCCAAACCTTCCATATTTCTAAAATTTCTTACCACACTGTGGAGGAAGGGTCACAGGTGCTGTTTCCTCCCCACAGTGCAGTGCCGTGCCCCTGGGAGGCCGCTCCTCGCCCCTTCTCTCGCACATTGTCCCTAAAAACCTTACGTCCTGATGCAAAAAGAGGAGAGCTTTATACTGAGCCAACGGAACAGTTTTACATAGCAAATGCAGATTTGCTCCAGATCTACTCTGCTGCTGTGCTGCGTGATCACTATGCAGACCTTAAGCAATGGGACCATGTGGAGCGGAAGCATCGCCTGAGGAATGTCTGCTCACATGAGCAGAATGGGTTTCAAGGAAAAGGAGACCAGCTCAAAAGAGAGATACTAACTCAAAGCTCTGTAATTGAGAGCGGGTCTCAATTAATTACCCTCAGGACTCCACAAGTAAGGCTACATCAGTCTCCAATTTTGACATATTTATTTCCTTCACTGTTTTTCCATCCGGGAACTGAATTCAAAGAAAGGTATAGTAAGCTTATTATTCCTGTTTTATCCTTGAATCTGTTAAACATCTTCATCCTGCTGTATGATAATTTACCGCTCAACCTTTACCCATATGTATGGACTGGTAATTTCCATTGGGTTTTTTTTGTTTTTATCTCTGTCTTGACTCTAATTGGTTCTTCCTGGCAACTAACCCCCACCCCCTCTTTCTATATGTGATGGTTGAAGAAATTCTGTTTCACTGTATCCGAAGAAGTGTGTGCGCAGATGAAAACTTATAGCTTAATTAAAACTCTGTCAGTCTTAAAGGTGCCAGTGGACTCAAACCTTGTTCTGCTGCTTCAGACCAACACGGCGACACACCAGAATCTATTTGCAGGGTAAATTGTTATTGCAGAACATATTGGTGGCAGCAATAATTGATGAACATCATACTACACGGTGGATATAATACCAATAGTTTCTGAATGATTTATTACACTTTTCGATGTTGAAATGGGAATCTTTCTTCTTGGAAATACATCATTATTATTCTGTCGCCTTTTAAAAGAGTTCTGCAGTTGGTTGCAGTAGTGTGACCATCTGGGGCTGACCCCAGCCCTGGACTCCATCTCCCCACGCAGCCAGCCCTACTGAGGAAGGAACCATCTGGGACAGTAAAGTCAGGGGAGAAGAGGAGCGAGATGGGCCCTTGCTGACTTCTTGCAAAGACCCAGGTCGGGTCTGGGGTGATTGAGGGTTGGAATCACGCCTTCAGAATGGGAGGTTCCCGTGATGGCCTGAGAAGAAGTTAGCTGGGTGGAGCAATCTAGCATGGGCAAGGGAGGACCCCAGGGTGACTCCAGCCCTCAACCCAGCTGGAGTGCAAGGGAAGCCTCGGACGGGGGAGGGGCGCAGCATGATGGCCCGTGGCTGTCAGGTGTGGCCCGCAAATCAGGAGCCCCACAGCAATGTAGTGCTTTGAGTGTCAGCTAGCGTTTTAGAGACCCAGGTGTGAAACCCCGCCCTGCCATGGAAGCTTGCTTGGTGACCTCGGGGCAGTCACAAACCCTCAGCCTAACCTACCCCACAGGATTGTTGTGTGGATTTAATCAAAGAAAGGAGAACAAGAAAAGCTGCTTTGGGCCCCCCTTGGGAAGAAAGGCAGGATGCCTTGTGGTTCCTCATTCGAAGGCTCAAAGCCAGAGGTCCCTGATACCGGAATCCCTTCTGTTCACTACAGCTTGGCTCTCAAATCACACACCCCATTAGCGTGTGGAGTCCTATGCCTCGGCTCCCTGGTGTTAGGTGAAGGGTTGCCTGAGAGTCGCTGTACATATGGAAGAGGACTACAGTTCGTTGCCCTCTTCCATATGCTGCATCAGCAGCGGAAAGGGAGGCAGGCGAACTCCAGTTCCTTTCACCCACTAGTAGCACCTTCGTATACCAGGAAATCATTCACTATAAAAACATGCAAACGGTGCTTGCGGTGATATCAGTTTATTTTGATCACAATTCAATGCAAATTCAGCCCATACACCTTTTCTTCTGCAAAAACCCCAAGTCCCAAATACCTACCCTTTTGGTCCCCCTCTGCCCCCATTGCATCCCCTTCACCTACGCCCAACATGGAGAAGACAGCTCAGGAGTCCCGAGTCGCCCCCTTACTTTGGCTTCCTCTCTCAGATTCTAACTTCATTTCCAGCTTCCAACAGTGATAGAATCCATTGTAGAGAGAATAGAATCCATTTGTATCTACTGTTCAGGATAAAGCTTGTATTAAGCTGTGAATTCGGCACAGGAACATTCCGCTTCTACTGTGTCTATGGGTTTCAGGAGGTCATTTCCTTTTTCTGTGGCTCCTGTCACATACACTGGGAAAATGACTGCCTATCAGGCACCCGTGGCAGGGGGTTGTTGTTTCCTGCGGAGGATAAGCCCCAAGTCCCAAATATCTACCCTTTTGGTCCCCCTCTGCCCCCTTTGCATCCCCTTCACCTACACCCCGCATGGAGAAGACAGCTAAGGAGTCCCGAGTCGCCCCCTTCTGTTGGCTTCCCCTCTTAGATTCTAACTTCATTTCCAGCTTCCAACAGTGATAGAATCCATTGTAGAGAGAATAGAATCCATTTGTATCTACTGTTCAGGATAAAGCTTGTATTAAGCTGTGAATTCGGCACAGGAACATTCCGCTTCTACTGTGTCTATGGGTTTCAGGAGGTCATTTCCTTTTTCTGTGGCTCCTGTTAGTAAGTCACACAGATTTTTGGTCGCACAGCCTTTGAAGCTGACTGGGTCATAGTTGAACTTGGCTGAGAAGGAGAGAGGAAGAAAGGCTATTCATGCAAATTCTTTCTAGGGATTTGGGGATGAGCATTGTCAAAATGGATGTCAGGGTTTTACTGGGCCTCAGAAAAGAAAGCCACACTTTTTCTTTGCATTTCTGGCAACTTTTTTTGTGTCTCGGCTGTCGGTTCTACTTACGTGCCTGAAGGCCACCGGTGTACGAAATGCATTTATTCTCCTGGCCACGACATCTGACAGTAGCGTCACTCGAACAAGATTCATTTGCGTTAGGGATGCGGGCGAGGCAGCCTGGGCACTCCATCCCATTGATGGCGCGATTCTTTTGATTTAGTGCTGCCAAAAGAGAAAGCCCTTCAGTCAGCGCATGGTCCCGTCACATTCCTCCACGGTTCTACCTTCTAGCCACTTATCCTGTACAAGTCTTAGGGGGGCTTCTGCTTCCCGCTTGTGTTCCGTCTTTGGCATCAACTACGAGTCAAGCAACCCAATAAACTATTTTTTAATCATAAGTTTTATCTAGAACGTTCACATTGGAAATCACATGACATAAGAAAATCACATGAAGCTGCCTTATACTGAATCAGACCCTTGGCCCATCAAAGTCAGTATTGTCTACTCAGACTGGCAGCGTCTCTCCTGGGTCTCAGGCGGAGGTCTTTCACATCACCCACGGCCTCGTCTTTTTAACTGGAGGTGCCAGGGATTGAACCTGGGACACTCTGCATGCCAAGCAGATGCTCTGCCAGTAAGTCACAGCCCCTCCCTTCTATGGGCAATCCAGACCTCTTACCCTTTAAGTGCCCCCCATAAGTGCCCTTTCAGATGCCTATTGATTCTTTCCACCTCATTTGAATGGTCCAGTGGTGGAGTTTGCCCCCATCTGTGCTGTAATCTGTAATCTATCTATCATCTATCTATCTATCGCAGCTGGAAAACACTGTTGGCGGTCTGCTGGACACTAGGGCGGAACCATTCACAGTGGGGAGATCATCTTATTAGTGTGACCCAGCCTCTTACGTGTGACAAAGAAGATGATAATACACTGGCGTACACCTAAGCATGTGCCTTAATCAGGGTGCTTTAAAAAAAAAAAGGTGCTGGAACTCTCAAGAGGGAAATGAAGTTTTCAATCTCTATACTGAAAACATTTTAAAAAGGAATTTTGTAGAAGAGGTTCTGGAACTTCATTCCGGTGCATTCTCATAGAAGAAGAAAGAAGCCCTGGCCTTAATGGTTCTGACCAAGAGCCAGTTCACTGTGACAAAGTTCACGCGTACTTTTGTTCGGGTCGTTCTTGGCATGCTGCGTAGTACTGGTGGGCTACATGTAGCCCAGCCGGGCAAAAAGCCATGTCTTAGGGCTGTTTTGGGTGTTGAGAATGGCATGGATGGATTTCAGTTCCTTCCCGGAGCTTCGTTTTCCCAGTCTCACTCGGGGCCTCCTGCATGGCAGAAGCATGGACCTCCCAAACAGGCCCGTAGCCAGGAATTTCTAAGTCAGGGGGCATTTTTAATTCCGGGGGGGCAGCACTGGCTAATTTGATTAAAAGTAATTTAATTAATGGCTTCTCGGCACTCACAGGTGAAGCAGAGGCGCTCTCCACCTGGCCCTCAGCTCTGCCTGCCTTGAGCTTGGGCATCTTGTGGCTCCTCCCTGGCGGTCCCCTTCACCCACCCCGGTTGTGGGCCTGCCAGCTCGCCTTTCCCCGATGCAGAAAAGATGCTCCAGAGGTTGCTGCTGGGATGAGGGGGAGGGCGGGGTTCCCCTGCTTGGGGAGGGAGGCGTTGGCTGGCGGCCATGGGGACTAGGCTGGGAGGGGGCCCAGTCAGATTGCTGCTTCCTGCTCTCTCTCTCTCTCGCTCTCTCTCTCTCTCTCAGGATATCTGATGTGTGGTCGAGGCTCTCTTGTGCTGTAGTGATGCCTCCACGTTTTTTTTTTAAGCTTTATTTTGGTTTTTCATAAAATACACATCCGTAAACACATACATCTTCATACCTATTTTGGAGTCTACTATTGTCCGCCTAAATTAATCCACTCATATAAACGCTTCCATCTTCTCGTAAACACTTTTTCGTCCTTTCCTTGAAGGATTAGACTTAATTTATCCATCTCCACCATTTCTAATAATTTACACACTAGATCATCTTGTTTAGGGATATACTCTTGTTTCCAAAATCTGGCTAGAAGCATTCTAGTGGTGGTTGTAAGTATATAGATTATCATATATTTATCCTTCCATCTATATCTCTCCGGTTTCATATTCAGCAGTACGATTTCTGGGGACAACTCAATTTTAACATTTGTTATTTTTAAGATTATCTTCTGTATCATTTTTCAGAAATCCTGTAATGATGCCTCCACATTTGTAAGTAAAGCAAAATACTGAAGAGACACCCATAGGTCTTCAGGACCCACTCCTCCCCATGGAAGCAGCCTGGGCAAGCATTAGCCCCTGGAACTTCTCCCTGCTCGGAGAAGTGGGGTAGGAAGATTAATTCGGCATTGGTCATCCAAGAGCAATGACAGCAGAAATCCCATTCTCGAATGTTGTCTCAAAAAAGACAGATACTCACCACCAATAGGTTCATTGCAAAAAATTTTGTTGCAGCACTTGACTTCCAAGTGGATGTATTTACCATCTGGCAAGCTGGCAGTGTAATTGATTGGGTGGCAATTGGGACGTCCCATGCATCCCAGTTTGTGATATGTTGTTTCTCCCCTTTTTTTACCCTCTGGAAAAAAACACAGTTGAAAAGACAGGTCTAGATTTGCTCACACACATGCACAAGATACCCTTCTTGCTGGCCTTGTAATGTAAATTCTTTTTCTATAGTTTTCATTGTCTGTATTAGCCAAATTAAAGTATTGCTTAAAGAAAAATGTGTGTATTCTTTAATTTGGCAAGTTATTGTTTGCCAGCTAGTTTAAAAAATCATCTGCACTTCCGATGACATTTTGTCGGGGTGTCCTTTGAAATTTAAATTTGCAGTTTAAGTTTTAAAAATTCATTAGAGAAGAAGAGAAGAGATTGGATTTATACCCCGCCCTTCACTACCCAAAGGAGTCTCACAGCGGCTTACAAACTCCTTTCCCTGCCCCTCCCCACAACAAACACCCTGTGAGGTAGGTGGGGCTGAGAGAGCTCTGACAGAAACTGCTCTTTCTCAAGAACAGCTCTGCCAGAACTATGGGTTGCTCAAGGTCATCTACCAGCTGCAAGTGGAGGAGTGGGGAATCAAGCCTGGTTCTCCCAGATTAGAGTCTGCACACTTAACCACGACACCAGACTGGTATACATTACATTCTGAATGTATAGAAATCTCATTTCACTGGAGAGGTAACAGTGTATGCAGGTCTTGAAGGAACTGTTCTCTGGAAGCCTATCTGGACTGGAGGCCTCCTCAAGTATCATTAGAGAAGATCGTGTTGGAGAGCAGCCTTCCCATCATCTCTATTCTTCTGGCGCCATGTGTAGCCAGAAGAGCCTGTGGTCTCTATCTGCGGTGTGTTCTGGGGCACACACTCAATTCCTGCAGGAACTAAGCATTCATCCTCACTCACAGCCCAGGATCTGACCCTGTTGCAGGGAGTGGTGAGGTAAAGCCCCTTGGATTAGGGTCTCCAGACTGGGAAAGGGCTGTCTCCCCAACAGCAGTGTCATTCCCAATTTGCAGAAGCACCAAAGATGCAAAGACAGCATGGTCCCTTTGTATCACGGCCCTCTTCCAGGTGAGGGAGGACAGTGGGGTGCCATAGCCTTGGATCCCAAAATCCTGGAGCCGAAAAATTTCTAGAGGTGATGGAGAATGGCAAGGTTGACCATAATTTGGGAGACATTTCTTCTGTCTTCTGCACTGGCCCGTAGCTAACATGGGGCCCACAGGGCCTGACCCTCTCGTGTTTCTTTTGGGGGCCCCTCCTTCCTGGGCTTACCCCTAAGTGCCCCAACTTGCTACCTGCATTTTGCTTTGATTTAATTAACTGGCGCCCCCCCAGGCCCCCTCCCCAAAAATTCCCTAGCTACGGGGCGCTCTGCACAACATCACTTTTCTTTTTTTATCTGCAAATTGCACATTTCCCCTGAGAAGACAAATTACCTCCTCCAGGGGCAGTGGAAGGTGTTTCCTCCATCCCCAAATGCCCTTTCTGTGGGGTTTCCATCACAAAGCTTCCCTGTGTGGGATTGACAGGAGGCTGGAGAAATACAGGCACCTGATCTAGGGCTGTCCTGGCCAGGATATGTGTTGTGGTTGGGAGGGCGGTGGACAGCAGCACATTTATAAGGGCCAAAGAACATGTTTAGTTCCCTTTGGGCACTGGCAGCCATACTTGCAGCTGTGCATCCCTGGTTGCAACTCTGTGTAGAAGTGCTGCAAGGGCTTGATTTGGATTGGGATCATGTCAAGGGAAAGGAGGCGGTGCTCCTGCTCTTCATCTGAACCACTTTCCAGAACCAAAACTGCCCTGTTGTCCCATTAGGGAGCTGAACACAGAAGCATTCAGTACATGTGCCAATCCCTGATGGGGGTAAGTAATGCTGCTTAGACCCTTTCTGCTGATGAAAACAGTTAAGGGTGAAGCAGGATCCTCATCCCCCACACCACAGTCCTGATCTGAATCAGGCCATAGTGGTGCTTCCAGATGAAGCTACCCTTTAAGATATTCTGCCGTGTTATGGCTTCCAGTCTCCCTTATCAAACATAAGGACCGATTTCCCACAGCTGCTGCTCTGCGCTCGCTCCTCTCTTTGCCCCGATGGTACATGTCAATTTTCCAACTCGAAGCCGCGCGGCCGCATTTTGACCCACGGCTTCGCCCGATTTCCCCCGCGGTTTTGTGATCCTGTTTTTTGAGGATTACAAAACCGCGGGCAAAATCGGGCAAAGCCGCGGGTCATAATGTGGCCGTGTGGCTTCGAGTGGGAAATTGACACGTACCATCGGGGCAAAGAGAGGAGCGAGCGCAGAGCAGCGGCTGTGAAAAATCGGTCAAGGTATTGTTTGGCCCTGTGCTGGTATTCTGTACTGCTCCAGAGCTCGAAGGGAAGTTGGGTCCCCAACAGGCAATCCTCAACAGAGTCATATCCTGCGATGTTGAATGAAATTAGCATGTTTAGACAGGTGTAACTCTGTTTAGGATTGCACTGTTGGTTAGGCTTGCCAAGTCCCCCTGGGGGGCAGGGAAACCCCCGCCCCAGAGGCCCATTCCCCGGCGGCGGCAGATCGGGCCCCAGGGGAACCCCACCCCGATGTGCACGTCACCCAGAAGTGATGCGACCAGGCCGGGCATGCTGAGGGTGGGGCCATAGTCATCCGAGGGAAAACTCTATGGTTTTCCCTCAGATGGTCATGGCCCCGCCCCCAGAGTGCCCGGCATCGTCACGTCACTTCCGGGTGAAGTGCGTGCGGCGCATGCGCGCGCACTCCAGCCGCCAGCCGAGAGTCCCCCGCTGCGGCTCAAAAAGCACTTGGCAACCCTACTGTTGGTGCAGAATGTTTGGTACTCTTCCTAGTTTGGTGGGGACTTTGAAAGATTTATTGCTGGTACAACATAGTGATAGCAACATGAGCATGACTGAAAGGGGAGAGGCCTAGGATGCTACGTCATAGTCATAAGAACATCAGAGGTTCCTTGCTGGATTCGACTGGTAGACCGTGTAGTCTAGTATTCTGTTTTACGAAGGAGGCACCCTGTGCCCTGGAAGGCCAACAAACAGGACACAGAAACTAAGTCCTCTCCTTGAGGTTGCCTTGTGGGATGAGTATTCAGAGGTTGCCTGCCTTTAGCTGTGGGGGAATCCCATGAACCAATGAAGCTAGCTTTGGACCAGTCCTGACTTTGTCACCCTCCTTATCCTGGAGAACTCTATACCAGGCTTTGGCTTAAATTGGAGTGATGCTACTTTGGCTTGATGCTGGTTTATATCCAGATAGGCCAGTATGTCTCCCACTTAGGTCACTGTCTCTTCAAAAAATGCCAACGTACAGCTTAGTCAACATCCTGAGGCCTTCGGAGATGCTGTTAGTCCTTCCTCCTTTAATTGCTCAGCATTTGATGACTGTTGAATGTGTGAAAGGTCTCTGTCCAAAAGGACTGTGTTTGTTGTCCTAGGTGAGATCCATGCTCTGATGCCCCGGTTACAGATGTGAGTCTTCCGATGAGGAAAAACTGCCCAAATGATGAGTGCTTATCGTAAGTGTTTAATGAGGGGAAGTTCTTACTTACCCATTGGGAAGTCAGTGACCTTGCTATAACAAATTTTGTGTTTCATACCGGGTGGACAGGGACCCTTGCCCTTTCGACTGCAGTCCTTACCGGAACAACCCCAACAGACATTAGGTCCACCTTGAGATGAGACTAAGAGGAAAAGAGATGACAGTAAAGAGTAAGAGTAGACAACTAGCAGCAGCATTTCCACTGAAGCCCCATAGTGTTACCCCAAATCACACTATCTTGGTGTAGATGGTGGACTTATGGGTAGGGGAGAGACACTTATTCTACAGAAAATACAGGAGGTAAATTAAATATATTAAAAAATATATACTAAGTAATTTAAAGGAGATAATATTTTTTGTCAATAAAATTCATGGTGTGAACTAGGGGATATTTAACCCTACTGCTGTTTGTACAGGGAAAAAAAACCCAGTAGCTGAGGTGTTCCAGCCTTTCATCGAGTTTGGAACCAGGCAACAGCACAGGAAAGATGGAGAACGCAGTTCAGAACTCACTGGTCACCTAAATGTAGGCAAACCACTCTCTCACCCCAATTTAGGCTTCCATTTGCAATATTAACCTCCCTACCAATACCGTACAAGGCACAATTGCAGCCAGACAGCACAGAAAAAAGTGTTTTGAAGTGCTTCGACTTGTTACCCTCCCCACGTTTTGAGAGGTGGGAAGTTCCAGGGTTTGATCTGCTGAAGTCCCTCTACGCCCCAAACCCTGCCCCTCCACAGGCTCTACTCCTCAAATCCACAGGTATTTTCTACCTTTGCTGCCACTGCATAGCTCAAAATTAACATAAGCCAACCTCCAGGCAACACCTGGAGATCTCCAGCTATTAAAACTGATGTCCAGATGACCAAGATCAGTTCATAAAAGAATGTATTAAGAGATAGTATTAAGGACTGTTGTGAACTGTCCTCTCTGTCTAATAAAATGTTACAAATCAAGTCTGAGGCACCGTCTCTCACAGGAGAAAAACGGCTTCTGTTCCGAACTGTTTTAAAAGTACCCCTCATTCTGTGTATTGCTAAGGGATATCAATGGATTATTTCTATAATGTTGAATAGATTTCATAATAAACTTGTATAAATATAAGTTACTTAAGCAATACTGTCGAATGGTTTTTAAATCCCTATTGCTGTTGGCAGGGCTATTTTGGGGCAGGAACGCACAGGAACGGAGTTCCGGCTGGCTCCCGAGTTGGCCACGCCCAGCAGGAACTCATTAGCATAATAGGCCACACCCAAAAGCAGAAACCCATTAGGATTGGCTACAGTAGGCGTGTGTGGCCTAACATGCAAAGGAGTTCCTGCTATAAAAAAAGGCCCTGGGTTTTAACCACAAACAAGGTAAACAGAATAAGAAGCAAAAGGTGAGTGTGTCTGGATGACCACACTTCTGCGAACATGGGGTGTGTGGCCTAATATGCTAATGAGCTGTGCTGTCAGGGGCGTGTCCTAATAAGCAAATGAATTTCTGCTGTTGGGTGTGGCCTATTATGCTAATGAGTTCCTGCTGGGCTTTTTCTACCAAAAAAAAGCCCTGGCTGTTGGGAATTCACACAGAGAGAAATTGATGGGGCAATGCATTTTAACAGAGAGACTTGCATATTCTCCCCACCCATTTAATTGAAGTAACTCAAGTATGAGTAACTCAAGAGGAGCGTGGTCTCCAGTGACCCGTGCGAGTGGTTATCCTAAGGATAGTTACATCCTTCAGTCCACTGAAGTCCCTGGGCTTAGAAAGGAGTATGTCTGTTTAGGATGGCACTGTCAGTGGCCTCTTATGCATGTAGCCTGATGAGGAAGAGCTTGCTTCATCAGCTGCATGGTGCGTGCAAATGAAAATGATGTCTGGTGACCTACAGTGGTCTATTGCTGAAGCCAAGTTGATTTCTATTGTTCTTTAGCTCTGCTAGATAGCCCCAGGAATCCTGGTTGCCAATTCGGCCACTTACTTTCAAATGCCACTCCACCCCAAGACCCTTGGGTCATTCGACCTACTTCTGATCTCCTAGAATCACCTCCCTCTCTGTGTATTCCTCCCCTCATCTCCGTAGTTCTGGCTTTTCACACTCTAGACTGCACAGGACTAGTCCCTATCTCACCTCCAAGAATCAGAGGGACACAGATTCTCCTTCAGTCACCTGTCTATTCCTTTCTCTTCAGAGGACCCCCAACCTTCTCAGCTTCCTTGCTCTAGCCCAATTGGATAATCCCTTCCCAAGGATGATAAAAAGAATGGTGGATTTGGGGTTCCTACTCACCTAGAGAAAGCAGGGCCGCAAAGAGACATGCACTCAGTAGGGCCTTCATGGTGCTGCAAAGACGAAGAACCGGAGAGAAGTCAGATCAGAAGTGGACCCACGAATGAGTCCTATGCTGAGTCCAGGGATTCACCTCCAGGAATTTATAGGCCACTGATAGAAGCCCCATGGCAGAAACTGGGAACAACTGGCTTGGTGAGATGTGAAAGTGATGGGAATTGGGAAGATTACACTTTTTTCTCAGAAATCCCTTAATATTACCCAAGGAACCAGAGCTCAGGGTTGGAGTCTGATGAAATATGTTTCTGGAACTGAGCAACAGAAGAATATCAGGACAAGGATCCTTCTCAGAGGGCGCATGAGCAACACAACCTGGAAAAAATACATATTCTAAGTTCTGCATGATGATAATTCTATTTACTTTTTTTTAGTATTTTTATTTTACCATTAAGGGGATACAAAATGAAAAAGGACAAAGGGAAAGATGAGAAATATAAAACATCATTTGTTAAACACATTTTTAAGGACATTGTATAATATAAGAATATAAAACATGAAAGAGTATCATAGCAAAAAAATACCATAACAAAACAAAATATGGTGAAATAATCAATACTTCAGCATAATGTATTTCCAGTATATTTCCATTATTGGCTATCTATAGGGCTAGGTAGGAAAACATAGAAGCAAGAAACATAGGAAAGGGGTAAGAAAACATTTTTCTTTATACAAGGGTAATACTATCATCTAACAACTAGTAAATATGTAACTATAATTATTACTACTACTACTGCTAATAATAATATTAATAATAAAATAATAACAAATAATAATAATAACTACAAGAATATAATTATAATGTTTTGACTATTAATCAATTTAAATTTCTTTATAACTCCTCAAACAGCTTTATCTAATCTATGTAGTTTGTCTGTTGTAATTATAAAAGGCTCTCTACCTATTCTCGAATTCAGTGATTGGCTTTTTATTTATATGGTTCGTCATTTTCACCATAACAGCATATTCTTCCATTTTGTCTCTCCAGTTCTCAAGATCTGGGCACATTTCAGATTTCCACTTGGTTGCAAATATTAGTCGTGCCATGCTTAACATATCTATGAACAGTTAATGCTCTGATCTATTTATATTAGATGGTAAAGTTCCTAATTGCATAGTCTGAGGTTTCATGGGAAATTTTAAATTCAAGATTTTCTGCATTTCAGTATGTATTTCTACCCAGAAGGTGTTGGTCTTTTTGCAGGACCACCACATATGGTAAAAGGTACCATTTGTCACTAACCCAGTCAGGCCAGGTAAAGCAGGCTTTTCCTTCCTGAAGTCCCTGTAGTCTTAATTCCTCCCAATCTCTGTTCTCTGCTGGGGAGAGAGGGGAGAACTTGACCATCTCATTGTCTTTAGCTGGATTTAGTAGCATTTGTTATGAGGTAGCTGAGGTGAGCCTGGAAAGCCATTGTTAACTTCTTCTTCTTCTCTGCCTGTTCTCTGCCCGGGGGGGGGGGGAAGGGAACTTTTGGAACCTTTTATAACACAAAGTGAAGGTTTGGTTCACTTCAGCCTCCCAAGAAAAAACGCATTTCTTCACAGAGAGTATCAAATTTCAGATAGCATCTACAGTCTTAGTGCATGTAGACCCCAGTAAGCCATTCATCCAGCATACAGATGCTAGCATAAATAGATTGGGGGAAGGACTATATCAAGAGACTGATAGGGAAATGGCCAGTTCCTTTTGCAAGCAGGGGACTCACCAACCATGAGACCAGATAGCATATACCCAAACTGGCATTTCTAGCTTTCAAGTGGGCTATCATTCAGAAATTCCAAGACTACCTATATGGTGCTAAATTTCAGGTCTGGACCCACTTACCTGTGTGCTCACAGGTGCAGGTGCTGCTGGTCACAGAATCAGTGGCTGCCCTTTCAATCTACAGTATTCATTATTGAAATGGAAAAAACTAACATCAATGCAGACATCTTATCCCGATGGCAGCAAAATGACAATTTAGTGATTATTCCTCCTGAAGGTGTAAAGGTTCTGTTGTGTAGTGAGAACTTCGAATGAACAATCATTGTTAGAGAGGCTCCTTGTTGCTACATTTGGATTGGCTGCCCTTGCCGAGCCGGCCAGTCAGATAACGTGAGGCTAGGAGTTTGGGGGTGCTCGGTTTCGAGCTCCGCGCCTCCCGTCCCGCCTTTGTTTCTGTTTGAGCCTCCCGAATGCAGGAGAGCTCGACCAGCCCCCCCGTCCCCATCTTGGCTGATGATGTAGCACTGTGTTTTAGGTTGCTTATTGTGGTGTAAATATTGTATTTTATTGTGTGTTTTATTGTATTTTAGATTCCGGCTTCGCCGCTTGTGAACCGCCCAGAGCCTTTGGGAGGGCGGTACAGAAATCTAATAAATAACAATAACAATAATAATAGTTCTCTCAGTAAATGGAGGTGCATGGAGTCAGACATCACTGGATCTCAAAGGATGGGGGAAGCGTATGGGTTTGATGCATGAGGATGAAGTACATTTTATGCTGTTTGGGAAGCCCAGAGAATCTCTTTAACAGTCAAAGGCCCCGGTCACATGGGCCGGATATCGCGGGGGGGAGGCGTGGCTAATTGCCCCGGAGGAAACTAACACGCGGCCGCCTGAGCACACGTCCCGGTCGAGGTCCCGTGGTTAGGGGGGAGGTGCCGACCAGATGGGTATCCTGCAGCGTGGCACAGAAGCCGTGCGGCGCGATCGCACTAGCAAT